GGGAAGCCTGCTTCTCCCTCTCCCACTCCCCCTGCTTGTGTTCCCTCTTCCGCTGTGTCTCTCTCTGTCAAATAAATAAAATCTTAAAAAAAAAAGAAATACAAAATAAAAGTAAAATAAAACCCTGAGGGAGGGTGGGCTGGTGAGTTAGGCTGCTTCCTATTGAAGTTACTGGGTGTTATTTTTCCTTCTGCTTCCATGCCTGCCGCACAGCCCTGCAGAACTACCTGCCCTTACTCTGTGCCTCTTCCATCCTGGTGCCTGTGAGGCCAGTCTCAGCCCCTCAGTAACCATTGCTGTGGTTGGACCAGCCCTTGTGGTTCTTACTATGATTGCAAGATGCCCCTTAACAACAACCATTAGGAAATTTTGAAGAAATAAAAGTGTATTACTTATGAGGCCTGGAAATGACACAGAACACCTGGGGCCACACAGCAAGGTCGTCGGTAGAGAGAGTGCTCACGGGGGCCCGGGGTTATGTTTTTATTAGGGTCAAGGGTGGGGGCATAGGGTTTCATGGGCTTACTATCGGTGAGTTTGAAACACAAGCGTGGGAAGAGGAAAAACAAGCGGCCCAAATGGTCAGTTATCAAAATCAACCGCGATCTCTAAAACCGAGGTGCCCCGGTGGGGTGAGGGGCCCTGCTCTCCATCTCGTGTTGTGGCTAGCCATGTGTTCCTTGGAGAAAGTGTCTTTGAAGTGGAAGCCTCTTTGAAATGGATGCCTCAGCAATCAAAGCTTAAGTCAGAGACTTGCATTACAAAAAAGAAACAAAATAACTGGAATATAGGCCCTCACCAAGGTGCCTTTGCCCTGGCTGCTTCCTTGGCCCTTCTTCAGGCTCAGCTTAGCCATCCTGGAAGCTTCCCCAGGCCCACCAGTCTGATAGAGTTGTGTTTTTTGTGTGTTCCCCTAGAATTTTGGTTTTCCGTTATCATAGTGCTTACCTCCCTGACTGCAATTGTCTGTTTATCCATCTGCTCGCTTCCCCTGCTGCCCACAAGACTGGGTGGCAGGGTGTGTGCCTTGTGCACCTCTGTTTTCCCATGATCTGCATGGTAGGCCATCAAGAGATAGTTGTTGAACAAATGAGTGGAACCGAGACATGTCCATGTCATTCTCCTCTTTGCACTCCTGCTGCTCCTGGCTGAGCCCTCTGCCGCTGCAGTCATTGCCCTGGGTTGAAATCTACCCATTTCATATTTCTACCTCTTTACCATCCCAGCCAGATAGCAGGCTCTTTTAGGGACCAGCTCTCACCCCCCTTCTCTGTCTCCATCAGTTTTGGGGGGGAAAGTAATATCAAGAATGATCTTTCCCCCCAAACTGCTATTAAAGGACAAGAAAGCTGTTCCCATAAAACTAAGAGCAATTAAGTTGAAACTTGGTTCTGCACTCGGTTTGACTTCCTCTTTTAGAATCATTTTTGGGAAGTACAACAAAGTTCCTCTTCACATTTCCCTACCAAAGTCGCCTTTGGAAAGTTTGGGGTACCCCAGGATCCCCGTGAAGGCTTTCCTTAGCAGGCACACGTGGTGTTCCCTCATCCTCTGGACCCCTTCCCTGGGCCTGCACCATCTCGGGGAAGCCAGGGATTAGGCTTCATATCCCTGTTTGCCCAGTTTCCCATCCCCCCATGTTCCAAAGCCCATAGTGACACTTGAGCTCCTTCTCTCCTGTTTAGTGGCCCCACCCCATCCGATGCCATGTTTTTGCAACAGGAATTTATTGAGTCAGTAATTTTTCTCGTCCTCCTGGATCATTCCCATGAGCACACAAACATGCTGTTATTTCTCCTGTCTCAAAAACAAGGACTTAATCACACTGGTTTGTCCCTCTTCTGAGTGGACAAACGTCTCCTCAGAGGTTTACAGTGTCTGTAAAGGCAGAACCAAGCCAGGGCTCACCTGCCAGGCACCGTTTTCCCCTCCTTGTCCCAACCCAACGTGAAGTGGCTGCCCACCCGCTCCTGGCTGCCCCTTGCCATGGCTTCAAAAGGGTTTTCTAGTCTGAGGCGACAGAGTAGGCCATTTGTGATGATTGGCCTTCCCCCTTCAGTGCTTGACCAGGTTCTCTGCTGCCTTGGATCTCACATGCCCTGGGCAGGGAGGGATCTGAGAACACTCCAGTGGTGGCTTTTCCTTTTCCCCTGGCATCTTGGTCTAAGCTGGTGGGCTTATGAATGTGTCAGGCATACATGAAGCTTGAGATACAAAAGACTTCCTGTCCCAGTGGTCACTGTGCCTCCTGGCAGAAGCCCACACTTCCTGCTGTCACACATGCCCCTGCTCAGAAGAGCAAACCACAGAGCTATAAATCTCTCCACTTGGCATTTGCCAACTGCAACAGCGAGTATCTCTAATGGTTAAGAGCCCTGCTGCCAGCCAGTCAGCCTGTGAGAAAATGGGGAACTTGAGGAAGGTCTTCAGGAGAGGGCAGGGAAGTTTACAGATGCTGAGGACTCCTTAGAATGGCGGGGCCACGGTCAATTGCAAATAAACGTCTTTTCCTAGGCCTCATACCCAAGGACGTAGCTCATTCTAGGTCAGGGGTAAGTGGGGAGCCGAGGAGCCCTAGGTCTTCCCTAGTAGCTCCTGTGGCATGCAGAGCCATGTTTCTTTGGAACATCATTCAATTTCTGAACATGGACTAAACTTTCCCTGATCATTTTACCTCAATGCTTGGCTCTTTCTGAGATTCTTGTTGCACTAAGGAAAGTTCCTTTTAATTCTTTTAGTGTTTCTCAACAGGGCATGATAGCTTTGGGCCAGACAATTCCTATCCTGCTCCACCCCCAACCTTTAGGACATGCAAAACATGCCTATTTTCAGATGCCCTCTGAGGTGTCCCAATCCCTGATTGGGAAACACTATGATTTAGGAGGTGAATGCTTAAGTGTCTTCCATCTTTAAAAAAAAAAATTCAAGGGGCGCCTGGGTGGCTCAGTCGTTAAGCATCTGCCTTCGGCTCAAGTCATGGTCCCACAGTCCTGGTATCGAGTCCCACGTTGGGCTCCCTGCTCAGCGGGGAGTCTGCTTCTCCCTCTGCCTCTGCTGCTCACCCTGCTTGTGCTGTCTCGCTGTCAAATAAATAAATAAAATCTTTTAAAAAAAATCCTTTGGAGGCACCTGGGTGGCACATACGGTTGAGCGACCGACTCTTGGTTTAGGCTCAGGTCATGACCTCAGAGTCCTGGGATTGAGCCCTGAGTCCGGCTCCGTGCTCTGAGTGTAATCTGCTTTAGATTCTCTCTCCCTCTCCTTCTCCGCATCCCACTGTTTGCTCTGTCTCTAAAATAAAAATTAAAAAAATCCTTTGGCCCAGACCTCTCTCCCACTTTATAGTCAGACATCACTAAAGAATTGGCTATACTCCCCCTCTCTAGTTTTTTTTACCTCACACTCATTACTAGTTCTTCCATCCTCACTTGAGTTCAAATCCCTTCCTACAGCTGGACACCTTAGTTAATTTCTCTGAACCTCAATGTTCTCATACAGAAAATGGACATAAAAATAGTTACCTGTCCCATAGGATAGTTTTGGAGACTAAATGGGTTATGGTAAAGCACTTGGGGGTTTACAGAAAGACAGTGGTCAACTTCAGATGATGAAGTCAAATGTATATGATTCTTCCTTTCTTGTTGAGCAATTCTCTAGAAGTTAAGTAACAGTGTTAGATGATACAGTGGTGGGCACTCCTCATCTGTGTCTGATTTGAATGTCTGATCTTGGCTTTTGGATTGAGACGGATGGTGGTAAGAAAGCTTTCTTATTCGTCACTAAAGTTTTTTTTCAGTGTGAGTATACATCCGTTTCTATTACTTACCTTTGCCACATCCATGGTGACGATTGTACTCCAGTCCTGAGGACCCATCCTTACAGTCGTTGAATAAAACAGACTTGAAGATGGTGCATTAGTCATTTCATCCAAAGCTGGGTGGATTTGCATTTCCTTGTTGGAATGGCCTGTTGATTTTTCTGCCATTCTTGTCACGAAGTAGGATCTCAGCAGAGCCCGAGAAGCAAGCGCCATGGGTGCAGTAACTCCCTGTCGTATCGCCTCTCCGCAGGCCTGGCGCAGGCGCTGGTTTGTCCTCCGGCGGGGCCGCATGAGCGGCAACCCCGACGTGCTGGAGTACTACAGGAGCAAGCACTCGAGCAAGCCCATCCGCGCCATCGACCTGAGTGAGTGCGCAGTTTGGAAGCACGTGGGCCCTGGCTTTGTGCGGAAGGAGTTTCAGAACAATTTCGTGTTCATTGTCAAGACGACTTCTCGTACCTTTTATCTGGTGGCCAAGACCGAGGTGGAAATGCTGGTGTGGGTGTACAGCATCAGTCAGGTCTGCAACCTCGGCCAGCTGGAGGATGGTGCAGGTGAGAGCAGAGCTGGGGCTCCTGTGCGCCGGGCGGGGGTGGGGGGGTGAGCAAGAGGGCCACGGACGAGGCTGGCCCGCCTCCTCAAGCGTGTCTGGACAGGCTACTTGATATCAGAATTGTTCCCACAAAGTACACGTCTAGAGGTGGCTTCCTTTCACCTGGTTCTAGATTTCAGGCCTGAACATGCCACATCCTGAACGTTACAAGTGACTTCAGTGGCTTCGAAGCCACTCCACAGCTTTGCTTGCATCAGCCACAGACAGCAGATGCAGTAAAAGTAGAATGTGGTTGAGGATGTCCTGGAGGGCTCTGGTTTTCCCCATGCTGTTGCTGCTGCTGATTTCCAGGAAATATTAAATATCACTGTTTTTGGGTAATTCACGGAACTGCAGTTTTTCTGTTGTCGACTGGGTTGTTCAGCCCTGGGTGGTAGAAAGACAGAACTTGGCTACTTCTCATAGGCAGGGAAGAATTTCTCATATCTCCAATAGGCTTGAGCTGTGTGCAGGACAAATTAGCTCTGAGGTTGCTCTGGGCCACTCCTGGGCTTGCTTTCTCTCACTCTCACTCACTCTTGCTCTTTCTTTCATACACATGCAAGCACATGTATTCCTATGTAATGTACTAGGTATCGTGCACCTAGCGTTACAATTCACTTACCTTCATGGAGTTTGCTGTGGAGCCCCTGATCCTCAACCTGTGAGATCTTGAATCCGATTTCCTTTAGCATGTTAGTCAGTCCTAAGTTCCAGTGGGCAATGGCTTCAATATCTCCACCCTTACTGTATGCTTATCACCTGCCACGGAAACACACACTGGAACGCTAGGTGGCAGTGGGGAGTCAGCTGCCGCTGTCTAGGGTGGCACAGGACCGTGTGCTTCCTGAGGACAAAATCCTTTTCTTTTCATGAACCTGGGAAGCTTAGTAAGTGCAGTTAGCTATTCAGTCACATTACTGGGCTTCAGAAGCACTGAAATAAAAGGAAATGAAGTGATGGCAAGCTCTTTATCCTTGCTACAACAGATGAAGCTTACTTGCAAAGCTGCAGTGAATCCTTCCTGGCCAGAGTCCAACCCGGTGCAAACAGAGTGTCCCTGACCAGTTCTTCCAGGCTTGCCACTCGCTCTCTGCCACCCTAGTCCCTACCTTCAGCCCAAACTACATACATAACCGTGTGCAGTGTTACGTGTCTCCTCTATTTCTTTCCTCATCCAGGAGTTATCCTAAAACATAAATATATAACATGTTTCCCGGTATCCAAAGTGGAACAGGAATGAGTCAGACACCAGGCAGAAAGTGGACAGGTCTGGCGGGAATTTGGAGGAAGCCAGAAACCACCCCCTATGACCTTTATCATTCCCTGTAGCCCCCCCCCCTTAGTTTTTAAGAGGATGTAAGAGCAGAGTCCTTTTCATCTGAGAACCACGCCCGGAGGCCTTTCTTGTGGCTTTTCACATAAAGTGTTTGGTCCTGTATCCAGCAACCTTAGCTAGTCAATGCATCATGTGCACTCTAGCCAGGAGCTCTGCTAAATGCTCTTGTGTATTAGCTCATCTTATCCCCAGACCGATTTTGTGGTGTATGTGGTATTAGCATCTCCGCTTTACAAAGAAGGAAACTTGCAGCAGGTAGGTAGCAGGCCTATGGTTCCAGCAGCTAGATAGTAGAGCCTGGACTTGAACTCAGGCAGTTCTGGGCCACTCGGACTCAGGAATCCTGAACTTCTGCCAGCCTGGTTCAAAGGGAAAATAAAAGCCGACTTTTCATTGGAAATCTCTGAATATCATGCTCCTTGAGAAATGTCGGCTTTACCAGCCATCACACCCTATTTCTTTCTTTCCTTTTCCTTACACATCATTACCATTATTCTTTATTTATGTTTTATTTGTCTGTCTCCTCTAGCGGACTGTAGACTCCAGTGAAGGCAGAGTCTGTCTTGGCAGAGTTAGAACAGTTCTGCATGCATAGTAGGTGCAATAGGAGGTATTCTACATAGACAGAAATAGACATATATCTGCATATGCAGACGTACATATCTGCACACATGCATATGTGTGTACATACATGTTATGCATAAATATACGTGTGTGTGTGTGTGTGTGTTTGTTGAGTGAATAAACAGTAATGCAGGGCTATGGCCGAGAGCCATAAAGAAGCTGTGAGTAGACTATGTTACTGCAGATTTTTAGACCAAGAATGCTTGGCTTTTTTTACTCTTAATTGATTCAACACTTCACTCTTGGAACGTTGGCCTTCTTCCCCAGACATTGTTTATAGCTTGGGGAAATGGTCTCCTCCATCAGTACAAACACCAGCTGTGATTTGCATCTTCTATTTGGCCTCGTAGATGCTGTTTGAGATTTGTGAGTGAGTGCTATAGCCATTCTTAAACGTTAACCCAGGAAATGATTTCTCCAGCAGATTCCGTGGAGAGCTTCTCTCGCATGCCCTGCTCCCTCCAGCCATCCCCTGCCAGCTCCCTTCCCACCTCCTTGCCGAGAGATGACCTAAGCACGAATTCCGTAGCCACCGAGGAAAGCAGAAGTGAGTCAGAGTTTCTCTCCCTTCCTGATTATCTGATTCTGTCCAACTGTGAGACTGGAAGACCGCGGCACGCCAGGTATGCTCATGTGCACGTCTCTCTGTGTCTGGCGGGCTCTGGCGCTGAGATGTGTGCTCAGTGTGTCTGACCAAAGCAGTCCATTTAGCTGTAGCATCCTCTGGTGGGTGTGTCTCCCCTCACCTCTTCCTGCGGCAGCCAAGGTGGGGACAGACCACCATCAACCACTATGAGGGCTGAGTCATGCATGTGGCTTTCATGTCTAACCTTGAGTTTTCATATGTATCTGACACCAATAGGGTGACAAAAATCAACAAACCATTGGTTCCTGCATCCAGGGATTGGTGAGGGCTGTGGAGGGAATGTGGAAGCATGGGAAAGAGGCCAGCATGGGTTTTGTCTTGGATAGGTGGCCTTCTTCTTCTGACTTCTGCCAGGGACTTGCTCCATTTCAGTCACATTTATATGCTTTTTTCCCCTCAGTCTGCCCACCAGATGTGATAGCTGGTCAAACTCAGACCGTTCATTGGAACAGACTTCATTTGATGACGTTTTTGTTGACTGCCTGCAGCCTGTGCCCCCCAGTAACTTGGCCCACCCCTCACGCCATGGGAGTGGCTCTCAGAAGGCGCCTTCCCTGAGGCCTCAGGCTGCCCTGATATGGAGCAGAGATATCAATGGGCCAACCAGGGATCACTGTTCTTCACCATCGCCAGAAACTTCCTTAAATTCCACCATTCAGGTAGATAAAAACCAAGGTTCCTTGCCCTATGAGGCAAAAGAACTAGACATCATGTCCAACATGCCACCTCCCCGCCCCCCGAAGCCAAGCCATCTCTCTGAACGGCGCCCAGAGAAGCAGCTCAAGAAGCCAGAGTGCACTATGGCACCAAGAAGAATCTCTCTCTCCGGTTTAGATAACATGAGGACCTGGAAAGGTAAGTGTTGGATGCTGACAGTGAGAGTGAAGCCTGCCTCCTCTTTACTCCTTGTGTCCACATGAGGACATTGCAAGTGTCCCTGACTCAAGCCAGGCTGGTCTTCCAGTAGGACCAGGCCATTGGTGGAAGCACACAACCTGAATGCTCGAAATTCCTCTTCAAGTCTGGCCACCGGTAGAGATATTTAGGTCCCTGTGGCCGCTGAAGGAGGTCAGAGCCCTTGTCCCTTAGCCATGCCTCTGTCCATGTGATGGGCTCCCTACCTGAGACTAAGCTCCTGGTGTTTGTTTGGAGTCACTCAGGGTCCCACTCGGTACAGAAGGTGATATATTTTGCCTCCGTTCAGCCAGATTCCATTCTTTGGCCCTCACGTGCATAGTGAGCTCTTCCTCCTCCCACCTGACACGTTCTTTCCAGGTTTAGCTGACTGTCCACTAGTGGTATAGCTTTTTACCAAGTTGTCACCATTAAGATAATTCTCACCCAGCCCTATCAGCTTGGTCTGTTGGCATGCCCTCCTGGAGCCCTCTTTTGCCTTTTCTCTGTAAAGCTGTTTATTCTAATGGGGTTGCCTTGCTGCTTCCTCTCTCT